ATTCATGTAGGTATGATAAACATAACTGAAAGCAAAGTAGAGATATTATATCGAATACCTTAACCCTGAGTGTAGATCAAAGAAAGGAATATACATATATAATAAATCCATTTCTAGAAGCTTGTTTACATCTGGAATCAGGTTCTTAACTCACTGTCTAAAGCAGCTAAAAGAATTTGACAATTTATAATACCCCATTTTGGCCTGTCTCTGTTCTATGATTGAGCAGTAAATATTCGCTGGAACTTTGCTTTTGAGACCTCAGTTTCAGGTACCTGCTGATTCTGACCAAGAGAAGTTATGGACTGTGCCCCCTTGCCCTGCACACAGTGCTCCAGTGGCACCACCAGGTTAAAGACAAGGCAGGGGGCTGCTCACTGCTGAGGTGCAGCAGCCTCACTGCTCATTCATTGTAAAGGGTAAGAGGAGAGAACAGGCCTCTTAGAGCTTCCTCAGTATCATCTCTCCTCCTGTATTCCTTCAAACAAAAAATCAAGTGTGCAAGAATGTTACAGTGAACAATACAGACATCAGGGTGAGACTTGCTTCAATAAGACTTCCAGAAGAAAATTTTATTCGACCTTCAACTGCTGGGTAAACTCTCTTCATTCTCTGGAGGTAGCGGGAAACAACCTCAACATCAGGTTCACCTAAAGAAACACACAAAAAAGCATTCTCTGCAGCTGCCAAGCTCTTAACCAAAATATAAGAACTTGCCTAAATTCCAGTTTTAGCTCAAGAATCAAATTGTTTTCTATGGTTTGCCATTCTGAATCAGCACACATTGCCTGTGGGGGTTTGTAGCCAGAATTCTTGGTAGCAACTTGTATTTTAAAAACAAACAAATTGTTTTTGTTTTGTCTGGCTTGTTTTGAATTTGTTACAATGGTATTTTCCAGCCAGATTGAGATAGTCTCCCACCTGTTTGGGGTATAGAGCTGTAGACCTGGCAAAGCTATCACTTACACTTTTTCAAATTTACTTTTTTTAGGAGAAGTTTTAGTCTTGGCACTGCTTGTGTGCACACAAATGCAAGGTATTACATGGGTTTTCTACAATGGGAGATCTTTTTCAGTCACTGCTGCCAACCATGCAATGAGCCCCTTCTCATCCAAACTCTTAAAATACTAAAGGGTAACCCTCCATCTTAAAAACAATTACAGTTTTACCCTTCTGTTGCACTGAAAGACTTTACTAGAACCTTACAGGTTGTTCCTTTTCACTATTCCTAATGATCTTTCTCAGTCTCTCAAATAGGGCTGATGTTTTAAATCAAGTTTTGCTGAACTTGATTTGAAACACTAGTTGTACCTGTGAGAATGAACTTTAAATTTAAACACCTGTAGAAACAAAATATTAGCCTGTATCAAAGGTCTTAAAGGAAAATTTTTGAGGTAAAAGCATGCTTTCACCATGAACAAGCAGAATATACAGAATTTAAGTCTGCAAAAATGTAGACTGCCTCCTATGAGACATTTTTTTTAATACAGCACTACACCCCTTTTGTGTTTTCAGAAATAATGGATTTCAATCTCAAATTTTTTTCAAGTTTCCTGTCATCCTAAAGGATGGATGATAACAATTGGACAAACACAGACATTCTAACACCTTGCATGGAGCTTTAGAGGACCTTAAACCAGTGTTACAAAACACCTCTCTTCGACCTGTGGTGTGTCTGTGGCACCCTGCGTTCTCCTGCCTCCAGAGCTCCTGGGGGTCCCTGGTTTTGGCTGGGCAGGCTCATTCCCTTCGAGCAGGTTGGCATCTTTCCCTTCACCCTATGTTGTTTGCCTGAGCTGCACGTTGTTTAACAGTGGAAGTGATGATTCTGTCTTTCTAAATCCTATACAGTGGAAATGTAAGGTCTATAGAAAATAGCACCTTTCTTACTGATGCATTGTTCGGTAATGAGTAGAAGTGCAAGGCAGTATAAGATGTACTCTTCATGTTCTTTGCTGCTTTTCTGGTTTACCACAACCTCAGGACTGCTCTCTGAGCAGTGCTGAATTGGTAAAGATGTTTCTCCTTGAAACTTTTGTGGTTTTAACTGAAAAAGAATGTAGTTGCTGCCTACAACTAAATCTAGCAAGCCAGAGCTGTCAGGGTAGAAGCAAATTTGATCATCGAGTATTGGCAAAAAGTCTGAGGTTTGGACTGTAAAAACATCTTTTAATTGTTGGGAGTTGTTTGCCTGCTACTCTGTTAGTGCCCATACTTACCTGGACTGTATCCCCCTTACCTTTACTGTATCCCAGATTTTTGTCTTTCAGCATACTGTAGCCATCTCCTCCAAATAACATGTAGGATGGCAGAGTCACATTGTATATCGCATCCATCTGGAGTGGGACATAGGCTGGGACTCGGCACGCTGTGCAAAGCACTTCTAAGCTGACAACTCTGCTTCCTGGGGCTCTGGAGAGATCATAGACCACGTGGATGCCTACAAAAATACACATTGGAATGCCACTTAGTGCAGGGCATGGCGAACACACAGGGCCAGATCCAGCATTCTCCCTCATCTTCAGATGGTTCTTTGCATTGCTTTCTGTGACCGAGGGTTGTATTGTTCTGAATTACAGTTAATGCCCTGTGTTCTTTGCACACTTGCTCAACTTCTATGTAAGAACACTCAAGAGAAATAAGAATTGCTGAAGCACTGTCCCACCTTATTTACTTATCTGATCTCTGGTCTCATCCCTACTCCACAAAAGGAAATTACTGGTCATGGGATTGGAATACTGCAAGATAAAAATACCTTCCCTTATTTCTGTAGTCACATGCTGTCTCATTTCCCTGGCCTGTTGGCTGAAATGACTTTTTTTAAAGCCAGCCTAACTTGGTAGCTATTCTGGATAATAGGCACTGTCCTGAAAAAGGAAAGCTGGACCAGGGCTGTACACTGCAGTGTCTCCTCACTGGAGGAGAAGCAACATTTCTCATTGTGAACCTTCCTTGATCAAGGCCAGGGCAGAGCCAAGCCCCCAGAGCAGCCCTGCCAAGAATCTGCAGATGGAAGCCACTAAAGGTCGTTCAAAACACTGAGGCTCTTCCAAACCTGGCGCTCTTCCTGCTCTGCATCTTCCATCCTGAACCCTTTCCAGAGCTACTGGTTTTCTTTTTCTGTGAAGAGGCAGCAAGCAGAGCTTGTTCCTGTTTTACATTAGAGGTACCCTAAGAATATGGGAACTTACTGGTGAAAGTGTGAGACATGGGTTGTGTCTGTGGCGTGTGAGGGATCACATTTTCAGGGTGTATGGGATTAGAGGCTTGGAAGGAGGGAATGCATCAGCCCCTGCCCTTGAAGTTTAGCTCTTCTGCTAACTAAACACTAAAATCTGCACTAAATCACAGAGAGACCAGGAATAAACATGACTGTAGCCTAATACACATCTGGATAAACACATAGGCAGCTGCAATTAAAGATATGAGTAGATTTTTTATATTAACAGTTAATACATAAAATATTTAGAAATTCACTGGAGCAATTCCATAGCAAACTGGACAAACTCTAAAACTGTCATCAATCATTAGAGAATTGCACAAAATTATTTTGATAAATTGAAATTCATCACAGGTAGGCTGCCAGTTAGGAACTAAAAACTGGAGTTTGTTGCAGCTATTTCTGTGTTACAGCTATACTAAATTATATTTTTCCCTAGTTAATTGCAGTGTTAAACTGATGCCATTATGGGTTTGGGAAGCTCAAGAAAACTGTCTCTTCTGAAGGGAACAGCAATGGGCTGTGTGCTGCAGTGGCTCAATTAAACACACGTAAGATAAACAGTGGCTGCTGGCTGGCATGTGAGAGGCACAGGGCAAGGATCTCTGGCCAGACTGACATTCCAGTCTTAAAAAAAGGCTTCCAGATGTAAAAAAGCCAACAGGAGGGATGGCTGTTTTGGAAAACTGGGAAGAGGAAAGAAGAAAATATACCTCCAACCTGCAGCAGCTCTCCACTTCCTTGTCCGTATCTCCTCACACTATGCTCAAAAGCTTCTTTCAGTGTGGAGCCTTTTAATGTCACCATATCAAAACGACCTCCAAATGGCAGAACAGACAGCAAATCTTCCACAGTAATGCTACCTGGGGGAAAGAAAGAGACTTTGTTCACTTCTTTGTTTGGGGTTTTTGGTTGTTGCTGGGTTTTTTTTGTTTCTTTTTCCTGTTGTTTACAGAATTATTTTAGGATTGTTTAACATCAAGTTTTTGACAAGGAACGTGGCAAATACAGTTTAAGAAATTGAGGGCTGGTAAGGGTGAAATTCACGTATTTTGTCCCAAAGAACCTGCATCTTTTATTATCCAGCAAGTATCAAAACAAATCGGAGTGTGATGTAACTGCATGTGTTGCTATTAGAACAGAGCTACTAAAAACATGACAAACCACTAATCTAAGATAAAGAAACACATCTATTCATACTGTCAGGCACTTTTTCCAGTTAAGATTTACTCACACGGTCCTACAGAAAGACTTAGTTAAACTGAGAAAGCTGTTTGTTTTCACGTTGCATTTATGTGGTATCAGGAAAATAAAAACTAAAACCTTAGCATTCAGAAACCACAGAATTTACTTACTCTACAGCAGACTACAGAAGGCTCACAGCGACCATACCAGATGACCTTGTACAGCAGAAGACCTTTCTTTGTTCCAAGGCAGCAAGGAGAGAGGGAAATTGTAAAATGCATTGTGTACAAACAATGCCAGAGACTTCTGTCAATGTCAGCCCGAGTGTAGTTGTGCTCAAATGATGGACAACCATTTGAGAAAGTTTGAAATCGCATCTAAACACCGTGCAAACCCCATCAAAACAAGCCCATACCTAACACTGTGTTCAGGCTGACATAACTTGATTCCTTCTTTCTGATGAAGTTGCATTCAGCTGGTTACTTTACCTACCATTAGTGCTCTGCTCATCAATGGGTGACCGTATCCCACCTCCATTCAGGATGCACATTGAAACGTGGTTCCATGTCCTTTTATCCGGACGCCCAACATTCTCATAAAGCTACCAAAGGAAAATGTTTAAACAGATTTTATCTGCACTTATTATAGACTCTGGAAATTTACACCAAATACAATCTGAGATTGAAAAAAAACAGAAAGGTTTTGATTTTTTTTTTGACATTATCTTCAGCCCTGTTGTAAAATACTAAGTTACTAAAAACCCAAAGGAGTATTTTGCTTTTTAAAATTCTTAACATAAAAAATATTTGCCCTTTACTGTAATGAATTCTTGGGCTCTGCCGTAGTCTGTGTGTCTCTGGCATGGCCAAGGCAGGCGAGCTGAATGAAAGAAAAGTGATTTTTTTTTTATTTCAATGACTGTGATAAAGACAAATGATTCAAGCATATTTGGGGAACTTAGAAGTGAAGAGGACCTTAAATACTGTTGTTCATTAAAATCTCCTAGGGAAAACATGTATTAATAATTTTGCAGGGAATTAAGTTTTTTCAGCTTCTCTGTGGTTGGTTTTTAATATTTAGAAGGGTCTTGGGTAACTAGAGAGGTGTAGAACAGTGGAAAAACAGGAAACAGGCACAGCAATGTGTCCCCAGCAGTTCAGTGGTGAGGCCCTGACAAAATGCAAGGACAGGATAATATTTGCTTGTGACATCCTTAACAGAAAAGAGAATGGAGACCAGATATTTGCTCAGTTGCCTCAGGATGATAAGCCTCCAGTATTAATCCTCAGAAATAACTGAGTGGGATGGGAAAAGGCTGAATTAACTAAGATAATAGGATGGACTGGTTTCCATATAGGAATGACTATGGTCATAACTCTTCAGTCTTACAGAGAGAAGTAGAGGAAGCACATGACAAAAACCTATAAAATGAAGAAAACCTATAAAATGAAGAAGGGTAGGAATTTGTGTCTTTTCTCATTTCAAGAATGATAAAAAGACCCAAAAGATTCAGAGAGGGGTGACGAGGATGGCCAAAGACACAGAAAACTTCTGAATGTAGGATGAGGATGTAGACTTGGACTGTCTGACCTGTTAAACAGATAATGGAAGGAAATATTCAAGAAGGCTATAAAATCATGAGTGGTGTGATGGTGGATGGGGAGCAAGTGTTCCAGAGCAAGGACCACTTGGCCCCCAGCAGTTATGCAGGCAGTGGGCAGCAGCAGGCTACACACTGACAAGAGCAAGGTCTCTGCAGGATGTGCTGGTCCACTGTGGAACACCCTGCCAGTGGCTGCTGGAAGGCTGGAGGCAGGCAAAGAGAGGCGGAGCTGCTCTGCAGGAGCTAATCCCCACTGTCTCCCTCCCCTTCTCCCTCTCCCTGTTGTTGTTTCTTGCTCTCCCCGCATGTTCCAGTAGAGAATGTCAAGAGACCACTTCTACCTTGGGAATGCCTGAGCTGGAGGCTGGTGGGAGACATGGGCAGATCTGAGCACAGCGGCTCCACAGGCTTGTCCAGGACTATTCTAATCCCCTACATTCCCCAGTCTGTCATTCTTGGAGGCAAAACTTTGGGATGAATGATCCTGTCATGTGTTCCAGGTGGGTCACTTCTCTGCTGTACCCCTATGTGCCCTGTTTGTGACCTCTGACTTGCAGCTCTGTAAATGCTTTGTGCCTCCAGCTTGGTCATCAAAGTTATGCCCTGAGGCCAGATCCATGCTTAGGTTTGTAACTCATAATCAAAGGATTGCAACTTCCCAGTCTTGAGCTGAGGCAGCTTAAAAGAGGAGCTCACACAGTGCTGTTACAAATTTCACAGTCTTTTCACCTCTGAGTCCCTTTAAAGTCCTTTGTAAAATGCCATCTAGGCCTGTCAGCCTTTTTATTCTGAGATTTTGGGTTACTGGTTGAGATGCATCACTGAATTGAACCTCTGTTTTGACCCAGCACAAACATTCAGTCTTCTGCCATTCTCAATCTCTCCATTTCTCAGGACAACTCTGAATATTAAAGCTAGTGGAATAGGCAGGTATATTTTTTTCCCTTTATATCTCTAACCACACGTCAGCAGACAGGAAAGCAAGTAGAAAACTGGTAAGGCAGTACAAAGAGAAATCTATGTATCTGCTGATGACTGCAAGTGATTGTCTAGGGACACTGAACTAAAATAGAATTTGACCCCCCCTAAGAATAAATGTATTGCAAGAAAATCTACAGACTTCTGAAAGATTACAGGGTTACTTTCTTTAAGCTTGAAAAGTGCTAAAGCATTTGTTCCCATTTTTGCAAATAAAGATATTTAAAAGTCTAGCAGAAAAAAAAAAAAAAAGCAAAAGCAAGATGCTCCAATTTTAGGAGAATTGTATGCAGAATTCCCAAACATTAATCTGATTTGAAAATTAGCTCATGAACTAGAGAATTATCTTGAGGACTAGTATAAGAGCAATACTATGGACTAGATAAATAGTTCTGGGGACATATCTAACTGAAAATTCATTATTATTAACTTTTCCCTTTATGGGAAAACTAACTTTTGGGAAACAGAAAGACATTAGTGAATGTTTTTTGTGTGAAACACTTAAATGAAATGATGCTGCTGCAGGACAGTAAAACAGGAAGTGGGTTCTTGTAAAAAGACTTTTCTGGAGTTACGTGGCTGCTAAAGCCCAGTAGTGCCTGTCAGAGCACAGCAGGGGCTGGTGGCTCCCTCTGGGCTGGGGTGTTCTGTGCCCAGCTGGGCTCATGGCCTTTCCCACCCACTCCTTGCTTCAGCTGGCAGCTCTTGGGCTCTTCAGGGGGACAATTCTTGTCAGCAGTTTTGTTTTCTGTGCCAGTGCACTGAAGTGGCAGCAAAGCCCAGTGAGTAACGAGAGGACAGAGGGTGAGTGCTGTGAGCAGGGGCCAGTAGCAGGAGAGGGGCAGGGGAGCTGAGCTCTGCTCCTTGCTGGGCTCTTAGATCAGACTGCTGTGTCCCTTGAAAGTGCAGCCTGAAAGCCTTGTGTGAGAAAGCTGTGTTCTCTATGAGGCTATGCACAAAGAACGAACTGCTGCTTACTCTCTACAGCAGCATTCCCTATAGCCTTGCTTCTGCCAGGCCTTTCTAGGGACACACTGCATATTGCGCTGTTGAAAAGCAGGCACAGGGCCCATGTGCTGACAGTTTGGATCTGGATAGCTCTGGAGTAACCCTTAGATGTAATTGCCACCTGTGGTGGAATCATCTTACCACAGCATCACAAAGCAAATTTCCCATGTTGCATTCTTGGAAGCGGCATGCTTGGCTTGTACCATTCAGGTAAACACTAGTTTTTCCAATCTCTTCAGAATAATTCCCCAAGTTTTCTCTCCATTTTTCCACTTCTTCCTTAATGTGCTTGTCTGTAAAGTAATATAAAAGTGTAGAGTAAGCATCATACATATCTCATATTAATGACACTTCAGTGAATACAAACCTTAGGAGAAGGAAAAGGTGTTCAAGATTCTAAAAGGCTACAATTCCCCTAAAAGCTTCTCAAGCAACGTGGCAACTATATTCACTTCAAAAAACGCCCATAATGGGAGAAGACAGGACAGGACAATCAAGGAAATAAGCCAGTCCTGTGCCACAGCAAGGTTACCTCCTCTGTACTTTTGTCCAGTCCTGTTTTAAACTCTGGCTAATGGGTTTCTAATACCTACCTTGACAGGTGAGAGAATTTTAAAAATACAAGTGAGATTGGTCTGATGCTTCTTTTTTTTTTTTTTTTCTGTTTGTAATTTGCTCCCTTTAATGTTGTGCTAAAAGGAAAAATAGCTTAAATATCAATGTCAGGGAATAAATCCTTTATAGAAACTAATTCTCTATGCACATCTGTCTCTTGGGTGAAAATATAATTATTTCAGAAAAAAAACAAAGTTACTTGTATATGCAGACATTTGTTACAACTATTTTATATCAGCTACTAGTTTTAATCAATTTGCTCACACTTGTCAGCAAGAACAACATTTATAAAATTATACCACCAGTGTATCTGAATTTTAAGTTTTACTGACTTCAGAGGGAGAATATAAAGTTTCATTACATAATCTCACTGCATTAATAGGTCACTGAGAATAACACAATATCTATGAACAAATAATTTTTACAGGATTTGTTTTACAAATACTCAGATACACTGGAGAAGAGACAGATTAGAAAACCAGCCCTAGGTAATTGCAGAGCTGACAAAAAAAACAAAACAAAACAAAAAAACCAAAACAAACAAAAAAAAAACCCAACCAATTAATAGAGCTCAGATGGAGTTACAAACAAAAAGTGACAGGGAGACTCTCCTCCTCCCACTTCTTTAAATGTTTCAGAGTGAAAATATTGAACACAGTTAGCACTGCATACAAGAACTCATGGGCTTGTATATTGTATTTGAACGTGGGCAGAGCAGTTGACAGGGTACTTCAAGTTTTTCCTGGAACATTTCCACTTTTCTATATTGCTCTAAACTCTGCTTAAAGAACCCAGCCTCTGGCAAAACTGTAAATTAGTCCTCATGATCTTTTAAATCACAATTACAGGACTAGCTAAAACAGGTTATACAAAGTGGTAAGGTATTGTATCACCTGAACTCTTATAAAAGGACTTTCAGGGATTTTAAATAGATAAAACCACACTCTGAATACATGCATATTCAACTGTTACACAGGCTGAACCCTACACCGAAGAGAACTGTGAATAAGCTAAATTCTTACTCAGACATTGTATTTAACATGACAAGACTTGAATTGTAGCAGAGAGCTGCAGGCAAACTCAAATGGATGCGGTCCACATACCTTCAGGAATGCTGTTGTCCAGCAAAATGGGGTTTCCAACTGCTTCGACTACATTCCCTTTCTTGTCAAATGTAACATTTAAATAACCAAGATATTTTCCATAAGCATAAGCTTGTACTACTGGCACCTTCCTCCCGTCATCTGAGTCAACCATGAATGGGTATGGGCCAGCTGGCACTTCAGTAGAGGGTGGGGTGCCTGCACAGAACAAGCATTAAAAGCGGGTCTTCAGCTCGTGTGACCTTCAAGGAATTACTACAGTGACATTTCAAACATTTCTCAGCCTTAAGAAACCCAGAGAGGATAGAAACAGCCGTGGCTGTATCGGACAACAAGCAGACGTTTGATTGCTCAGTTATCTCATAAGAGACAGCGTTGTTTTCAGGACACAAACTCAAATAATTGCCACAGTGTTTTTTAAAGTTATGACAGCACCCTGTGCCATGACATCACATCACAACAGCAACAAAGCAACTTTTAATTCCAATTATTGCAATCTAAACCCCTCAGTAATGCGAACATACCAGCCACTGAATGAAAAGTTTACTGTCAAGCCTTCATACTACATTATTCTGCATCAGACAGAAAATAAGTATCGTAGTAAAACATAGATCAGACTTCTTGGTCTGAAAAGTCTAATTCATTTTACTGTTAATAAGCAGATAGAATACCTACAAACAATTCTGTGAATTTATACATAGAGCCAGATGATTTTTTTTTTCTCTATACCAAACAGCCTCCAAAATTTCAGACAGCCTGCAAACCCTCTGCGAAAACAATCTTCATTAGCATTAAAGTTGTGTGGTCATGGGTTTAAAATTCCTATCAACCTGCAAAGTCTGAAAGATGACTAGGGATAGGACTTGGAAACAGATTAAGGCAAATCACTGGCAGGAAAAAGAGATAGCTCAGTTGGCAGAGGTTAGCACAGGAATTAGAAACCACACAGGGGCAGAAAGTGAGAAAGAAAACTGGAACTGCACAGCACAGCTCTTGACTCAAGGGTATCAGGCTTCCCTGTGTTATCTGATTATTGACAACATTATCTGAGCAGTATCTCTCCCTGCTGTTAATCCTGTCATTATTTCTGCCCCACTGTCAGTCCAAGGCTGGGTAGCTCCAAGAGCCCTCATGTGCTGTGTGACAGAGCTCCCTCAGAGCCTGCTCCTTACTCCTGTCCCAAAAGGAGTGGCATTTCCCATCGTGTGTCTGTGATCACTGGGCTGCTGGCAAAACAGGGGCATGGAGGAGCATGAGGACATGAATCCAGAGGAAAGCAACCTCCTCACTTCCACTGCTCACAGAACAACTTGTTTCCTTCAATTTACAGTTGTTTACTTAATATTAAATCCTAGGATATGCAGCATGATAAATGTTCCTTCTAGAACTCCGATACAATTCCTATTCCTCTCTAATCCCTCCTATTTCTCCAGGGAGAAGAGCTGCAACAAACCACAAACTGAACCAAACTTACCACAGAACTAGATTTTCTACTTTCAGCCAAGCCAACAGAGTTGATTCCTTGGAGTACCACTTAACTATTCATTTATTTGGTGAAGAATTTAAGAAATCGTGTAGCTAATGAGGACTCTCCAGGATTTATGCACACAATAAATTTAGGGTTTTCTGAACCGAAAAAGGAGTAAGTTTTGATTTCTTGTCCGTCTTTAGTTCTCAAATAAACAGGGCATTAGAAAGATAAAGTTATTCTTTCTAGGCATTATTTTAGTTTATATCAGCTGTGTGTAGTTGAGTGCTTGCCCAGAGTCTTACTCATTTCTTGTTTCCTAACAAAATACTGATTCTGATACTTCCTTGCAGGATTAATTAGCACTATGATATCTTTCCCTTGTAAGATAGATGTGTTCCTCCTGAAATGCAAAGACTATTCAGTGCATCTTACCCCAACAAACACAGCAGTAGAATTCATGCTCATCAAGGCATGAGATGCTGCTTCATTACAAATGCACAAACTCATGCTGGGTGACTGAAGAACATATAACACTTTCCTATTTCTTACCCTGTTTTTAGCCAACACACTACCTTTTCAGAATATCAGTTCTGATGAAAACCAGGAATTAAACTGCTCTAACCCAAAAGTACCACTGCTGTTTGAATCAGTTCTACAAACCAAATGCACACCTGAACAAGTCAGGACAATATTTGCCTTATAACCTGTGGATAAACTGGAGATTGGTAAATATCTTAGACACAGGTTGGACTAGTCCAGGATGAAGCCCTTACATTAATATTTCTCTGTGTAGATGTCTTCATGGGCAGTATGTCTCTAAACCTCCATGACAGAACAGGCTGAACAGCTCATACATCTCCACTTAGACTGAGCTGGAACATTCTCCCAGATTCTACTGCCAGTTATTGATTACACCTCTTGATTTAAATGAAAGCTTATATATATGCATCGAGACATGCAAAAAGACATTTCAAATCAGATGTTCTACTCTGCAGTGAAATCACCTCCACAGATGTGGCTGTTTCTCTGGGAATGTTGACTGGTGGCTTTGACTGAGCAGGGCATGGTTCACATGCACTCATGATGCTCCTGAATGGGTGAGCATGTGTTTCACTGCATTTGGGATAAAAATTATATGCTCAGACCACATTCTCTTAAAAATCATATTTTGACTAAATAGATAGTTTGGGTGTATTTCCCCCAGACATTACTTCCTTATTTTTCTCACCTTGCCAATATTAATAAAAAAAGTAAGACAGTTTTGTTTTATCAAAACAACAGAGCCCTTGGAAAAGGGACCAGAAGTCATTCCCAGTTGAGATTTTTAACCTGAAGGCTACAGAGGCTCTGCAGTGTGCTGTCTCTGACACTGTGAATCTTGGACAGCTTCAAAGGGGGAGGAGTGGAACAGCTTGACATAGTCCGACAGCAGGGTACTCTCTGGGGTGACTAGAGCTGTGCTTGCAAACTCCTGCAGATCTAGACAGGATATGAGCACAGATGTCTCAGCTCCTGCAGCACTTCACATCATGATTGCAACTTGTGACACATGGCACCTCCTTGGATCACACCCAAAAAGGTATTTTGGCTACTGTGGCTACCATGATGAGGCACGAACTCTCTACAGGCACTGGCAAACAAGACTGCAAGATAATATAGATTCCACTGTGTAAATCCACAATGAATGCACACTTTGGATATGGAATCCATCCTTTTTTTTTTTCCCCATTTCAAAAATAATTCAGTAAAATTGCAGACCGCACCCCAAGACAAGGCCAAGGTCTCTGTGGGACGTGCAGGTCAGTGTTGGAAGGCCCTGCTATAGGCTGTTGTGGAAGTTAAAGGCAGTCAAGAGGAGATGGAGAAGTAAATATCAAGATATCACTTCTGTCTTGGGGAGTCCTTGAGCTGCAAGCTGGTGGGAAACACGAGCAGATCTGAGTAAAATGTCTCCACAGGCGCATCCAGTCCCCTCAACCATCCCCCTTGGTCACTCTTAGACACATGATATTGGGATGGTCCCTCCTGTTGTTCCAGTTTGGCTACTTCTGTGCTGCACCCCCATGCAAAGCATTTGTGAGCTCTGACTTGTAGGTAGGTGTGTAAATGCTTTGTGCCTCCAGATTAGTAATCGAAGTTATTCCCTGGGGCCAAATTCAAGAGATACTCTGATCTGTTCAAGTTTAACTGCGGCATGCATTTGTTTCTTTTTAACAAGTGAGATAACAAAAGGTGAGAGATAAGACAAAAAAGATAAGACAAAAAAAGCATGAGAAGATAAGACAAAGAAAGTGTGAGAAACAGAGAGGAGATTAATAGGGAGAGGAGAGGAGAGGATGATAGTGCAAACCTTTTAAGTGATCAAGTTCCTAGGGTAGGGTACATAATGTTATCCCTGTGACTAGGGCACACAGGAAGCTTTTCTAAAAAATACAGTAAGTTCCCATTATAGTCTCAACCAGTTATTAAAGTTTCTGCTAAATTTAAAGAATTTTAAAAATTCAATCAAACAGAAAAAAACAGCCTCTCTTTTACTTGTGTCCTTACACTCTGGGGAAGGTAACAGCACTGGGTAAGCTGCTGATGCTAGGTGTTGCCTAAATAGCATTACTGCAGGAGAAAACAGATCAGCAATGTTTATCTCTGGAATGACATCTGCCTCTATGGAAAAGAAGAATAAAGTCAGAGCTTAAAAGAAGGATTGAAAAAAAACAGATGAAACTTGGGGAAAGTATTTTAATGGCAGACTAAATGAAGACCTATGAATATAGAATCACATTACAGAGAAAATCAACACCAGTAGCAGTTTTGAAGTCTTCTATGAATCATTTTTCTGGTTAAGTCACATACATGTTTAAAAGTAGGCAATTAATTTAGTCTTTTATAGGTGTGAGTTTAAAAGAAATACAGTATGTTTAGCAGTAATTTACCAGTATTACTACCATAGTTCCTCTTCCCCACTTTGCATAGGTCACCCTGAACATCCAGAGCATTATGGAAGCTCTCAGTGGGTTGTGGTACTTGGTGTGCACAGGCTGTTTTAAATTGGTTTCTTCCGTGGAAGTTATGGACATGTACCAGCTATGAACCTGGCTGAATGCAGCCAGCAGTAAACTACATTGGTGAAAGCTCTCTGAGCTTAAAGACAAACAGTTTCAGCTTAGCTTTAGAAACAACATTTCAGTAAGAAGTAAAATACCTGTATAGAGAAATGTGTTTGTATGTCCTCCAATCACAACATCCACTCCTTTCACTTTTTGAGCAATATTTTTATCCACGGTAAAACCAGAATGTCCTAGTGCAATTATTTTGTTCACTCCCATAGCAGTAAGTTTATTCACTTGCAGTTGCAATGCTTCAATTTCATCTTCAAAGGTTACATCATCCCCTTAAAAAAGAAAATAAATGAAAAGAATTTACTTACAAAGTACCTTAATTGCTAGTTTGAAATAAAGTAGTTGACATCAAATATTAGATTGTATAATTAAAAGGACTTTGAATGGCAGTGCCTTTCAAATATACCTAGCTGGTTCAAGCTCTTGATCTGAGCTGATGTTTTTCAGCCTCTCAGGAGCACCTGTGTACTTAGACTAATACAACATTTCTGCAACAATGTATGTAATGTATGTTCTGCAAACTTCTGTATGTACTTGCCTAGACTAAAAAAAGTTATAAGTCTATAAAAAGATTCAGTGGCATCAAAAGATTCAGTAGGATCAAAAATTGAATGGCTTTTATTATTTAACTAGAAAAAGGAAACTAAATGTGCCAGTGTTTGCATATAAACAGTTTTATTCTATTACAAAGGCTTTTTTCTTCCCCAGCTGTATTTCTTTAAGATCATTTATCTTCTTCCCAAGTTAAATCTCCCTTTTTACTGCACCCTTATCTTGTTCTTTCCTTTATCCCCCCTCCTCAAGGCTTTAAACATCAGCTTCTTCAAAGTCCTCCATTAAAATCTGAATTGCCTTTTCATACAAATAATCTCACCTAATGTGAATCACTCTCAGTAATACCAATACAGCACAGCACACGTCTGAACTACCATCCTGAAACAACTGCATAAGGAACGGAAAGGAGAAACCTTTTCCGGACAAGGATGTTTGGAAACTGGCAGTCTTTCTGCAAGTTTTCTGTGCCCGTTGAAATTACTCTGTTGTGACAAACAGTTACATGAACACTAGAATAACAGGCGTTTTTATCCTGGGCACAGTGGTTTGGGTTGCACAAAAGGACTTCCTATGTAAGAGGATAATTTCCCTGATAAAGGTTTAAGAATAGAGTTTAAGGGCAGGTTCAACCAACTGTAAACTTAGACTTTCTGGTGAAGACAATCAGGTGACTTTTCTATCAACTCCTCCTCTACCTAATTTCTCTCCTTCCTACAGAATTTTTTTATCAAATCATTTTGAAATATGCCTTTAAAGTAAAAAGACTTGTATTATTTCATAACAAAGGGAGGAGTGAAACGAATTCACAATCCACTGCAAAACGTTTCAGGAAATGCGGAGGAAGCTGCTACAATGGAAGAGATAAAAGAGGGTTACAACATAAATTGGTTCAGTACCACACCCATTCAATAGTTCTGTTAGTGCCCGAGGGAATCTTTGTATTGCACATTGCAGAGTGAATTGTGCACTGCATCCCCACATTTTCTTCCTGTGGACCTCTTCTCAGAATCAAAGAGTCAAAAGTTAATTGAGGTTGGAAGAGACCTCCAGGAGCCATGTAGTCCAAAACCAACTCAAAGCAGGAACAAACAGAAAGCCAAATGAGGATGCTCAGGGTCTGATCTGAGCTGGCTGAAATTCCAGTCACTTTAGGCAACATGTTTAATGGCTTAACCATGCTTACCATGAAAGATTTTTTCCTGAAGTCCCACCATAATTTCCTTTATTACTGCTTGTGCCCATTGTTTCCTGTCCTTTCTCTTCCCCTCTGGGAAGTGTCTGTCCCTCTCTTCTCTAAAAAATTCCCTTACACCAGTGGAAGACTATATTTGGTTCCCTCTTAGCCTTCTTCTCCAGGCTGAAGGAAGACACTGACTTCAGCCCCTCTTTGCACATCCTTGCATTTGGCAGCAGCTGGGCCTGATGCAGAGCTGCTGGCAGAAAGGGAAGTGCAAGAACTGATCCCTGAGCACAGGCTCTTCACGTACTCCTCCCTGC